GACTGGGATGGAGATTTATTTTCCAGCAAGACAATGATCTAAAACATTAAACAAAATCGACAATGGAGTGGTTAAAAAATAAACATATCCAGGTATTAAAATGGTCAAGTCAGAGTCCAGACCTGAATCGAATAAATAATCTGTGGAAAAAACATAAAACTTGTTCACAAACGCTCTCCACCCAACAACACTGAGCTCCAGCTCTTTTGCAGGAAGAATGGGCAAAAATATCTCGATATGTGAAACTGATAGAGACAGACCCCAAGTGACTTGCAGTTGTAATCAGTGCAAAAGATGGAGCTACAAAGTATTAACTGAAGGGGGCTGAATAATTTAGCACACCCAATTTTTTGTTTTTTTATCTGTAAAAAACATTTTAAATATCCAATAACTTTTGCTTACCTCCATGATTATGTCGCAATTGTTGATTTTTCACAAAGAATTACTATTTTACGTCTGAAGCCTGAAATGTGGAAAAAGTTTGAAAATTTCAAAGGTACAAATGTTTTTATAGGGCACTGTAGGAGCCCTTAAACTATTCAAGCTCATGGTGATGGGTAAAAGGGTTTAATATGTTATTTTCCCTATTCTATGAACTGCTTTTAAGTTGTATTTAAACCTTCTAGTGATATTTTGTTGATCAGCAAACCTTTTTATCCAGAGGAGCAGCAGTATTGTCATCTTCCTTTCTAATAACAGAGATATTTTTCTCTGTTAGAAAACACCTTAAGCATCTCATTCTGATGGCCCAAACTAAGCTGCCTTCCATGTGGCTTTCACAAAACCAGTATTTCAGTCTTACGTCATCATGAAAACTTGTTTTTTTTCTGGTTGGGAAAGAAAAAAAACTTTTTCTGGATCTTAGATGGCATATTTATTGATTTCCTTGGGAAAAAAATTAAGTCTCCTGAGCTCACTCTTTTTTATTTGGAGGTTTATGGCTCTCAGATTTCCTTCTGAACTACAAGGTCCTTAACTTATTGCACAGGTCACGTCTTTTGACTGTACAGCTGAAACCTGTTTAAATTATTTCCAGGATCTCATTCTTTTGAGGAAGGAGAGTCCAGTTTTCTGTTATCCTCTAAGGAAGGGTGCTCTGGTAGTGATATTCAAACGCCTTTTGTAATTTCAAGCTTGAATCCCTATAATGTATATTTTTTCAGATATTGTTCCAGAGGTAAAATTCAATATTTTACACCATAATTATTTTGCTTTGGGGGTTTTTTTTGTCTGAGAAGAGCTTGAAATAGCCTCTGATCAGTATGGACCCTGGTTATGTTCCTTTGGAAGATGACCTCAAGGTACTGTAGACCTAGAAACTGCTGGAACGATAAAGAGTCTGATTTTTAGAAGATTTGCAGGTCTTAGATAAGGTACAAACTTGTTTTTACACGCAGAGCAAGTCTTTAAAGGAGCAAAGTGATCTGCATGTACAAACCTTTTTTGTGTGTTTGCCTTCACCAATCTGGTTTCCATTGTTACACTAGGATGGATGGATGGATGGATGGATGGATGGATGGATGGATGGATGGATGGATGGATGGATGGATGGATGGATGGATGGATGGATGGATAACTCCACTCCTTTTACTGCACTCAGGTACTCTCCTGTCGGCATCGCCTCTCTGATTGCTGGTAAAATTGCGGCTATCGGGGACCTGGAGGTGGTTGCCAGGCAGCTGGGCATGTACATGGTGACCGTCATCGTAGGCCTGGTGATCCATGGCGGGTTGATCCTGCCCGCCATCTTCTTTGCTATCACCAGAAAAAGCCCATTTGCTTTCTATTCCGGCATCTTCCAGGCTTGGATCACAGCTTTAGGAACAGCCAGCAGGTATTACAGGCGTTGGTATCTTGCTCTTTTATATCAAACATGCATCTAGTAAGAAGCAGCAGCTTTGTTTAAAATGACTAGGTAGCACCGCCTCCTGATCACTGTTATCACTGATTTAGCTTAAAGCTCAAAGGCTTAATTCAGCCTTCATGCAGCGCCACTAGCAATGCAGAGCAGCAGAGCTAAATGTGTGTGAGTCCAGGCTATCATGAGTAACTCAATGTCAGAGACATCCCATGTTGTAAATGTCTAAGCCTTTGGATTAGTTGTCAGCAGCCAAACTGGCTCCAATGTATCTAGCACACATTTGGCCTGGGAATCTGCTGGAACCAAATATCATTTCAGCACAACGCTGAGGTTTTAGTGAAATCGGGTAATCCTATCAACATTTTGTCTAATTATATTATGACCACAGCTTAACAGTGCCAGAAATCAGATTCCTTTAATTCATGAACTGAAGGATTGAAACAGTGGCCTGCAGCAGCTGTCAGGAGGAGGCTGTTGGCCGACTCAAATTTCTACTGCCTTTTATTTGTTGCTATGTCTGCTTTACCCCTTCACCTTCCTCCCCACCTCTGCACTTATGTTTCGCACCACCTGTCTGCCTATTTTATATCCCCAAATAGACACTTTGCTCCTCATCTTTTAAAAATTGGCACTTATTTCCTGCACCGGGTTGTTTTGCGGGGTTTCCCCCCCTTTTTCTTCAGTGCAGGGACACTGCCGGTTACCTTCCGCTGCCTGGAGGAAAACCTTAAGATTGACAAGCGAGTGACTCGCTTCGTGCTTCCCATAGGGGCCACCATCAACATGGATGGCACAGCCTTGTATGAGGCTGTGGCAGCCATCTTTATTGCCCAGATGAACGACATTGCACTGGATGCTGGACAGATTGTCACAGTCAGGTAAGAATAAAGGAGGAAACGCTCCAACTCTCCATGTCCTTAGTGTTCCAAAGGAAAAAAACAAGTTTTCCTAAGTATCAATCACCTGTGATTGGAGGCTTAATGATGCAAGACATCCCAAAATGGCTGATGGATGAAATGATCTTAAAATTAAAATTAATAAATGATTTATAATAAAAATATTCAATTATTTCTTATGTGTAAATGCCACATTCTGTTTGCATGTAATGGTTAAACACAGAAAGCAAAAAAAAAACCACAAACTTCATAAGTTATAAGCTAATTAAAAAAAAACAAGATTATCTTGCAGAGTGTATCACACAAATATATATTATATATTTCTAGTATATATTATACAAACATACAATTTTAAGTAAATCTTGAATCATTCTTTATTCCTTTCACCCATCCCATGCTGCCAGAGTTCAGGGTTTCTGAAGTGTTTCTTTAGACTTTGACATCTTCCCCACCTCGTTCATGCAGAAGTCAATACATTCCTATTTTTTTCCTTTTTTTTTTACACTTTCCAACAAAACATCAGTCATGCTGAAAAAAACAAAAACAGAAACGTCAGAAAATGAAGCAAGCAAAGAGTTAACTATTAATGTTGCCTATTTTAAGATCTCATAAAAAAATAACAATGGTTGATCTAAAACATTTATACTCTCTGCTTTATATTAAATTCAAACATACACACTCTTGAACATGCTTAAACTATGAACTTCCCAGTTTTTTTTATTGACGTGGAAGATCTTTCCAGCAGAAAAACCACTGCAAACATATCAGAAATGGTTTAGGTAAAAACAAAATAATGTCTCAGAAGGACCAGAGTTCAAACTTAAATCAAAATAACAATCTTCGGCAAGACTTCAAATTATCGCCTCATGAAATATATATGCTGGGGAACCATGTATAATTATGTGTTGATTTTTCACATTTCACAATTATGTGTTTTATTTTTCAATAAAACTCACTTGATATGTGGTTAAATGTGGTTAAAACTGAACTAAAACCTTAAAAGTTCAACGGGTATAAGTACTTTTGCATGGCACTATATAAGGACTAAATTACTGTCTGCCGCTTACAATGTTTGTTATTATTATAATCAACTGTTTACACCAAGGTGCAAAATGTGCATATAAATACGCAGTATAGGAGAATTGTAGAAACTTTTAATGGGCTGGGTCATCTGTTGCCACAACAAATCCCTGCTGAAACCAAATCTCTTTAATTGAAAACAGTATTCAGTGGCAGATCATTGCTGTTTCATTCTAATACAATTACAACTTGTTTTGTTTATTCCAAATTAAATATTCCCATATTTTCTCCAGTCAGCTGTATATTTGTGCCATCTGTGGTTTGCTTGTTAAATTCCATGCTTTGAGATATTAAATGTGCTGCCAAACTCCACATCTATTAAGGATTGGATGATTTTCTAAGGCCGTTTCAGTTACTTCTGCTACCAGAAACCAGTAATCAATTTTTATAACCATTTAACACCACATTTGGCCTGCTGAGCTAGGCAAAAAAAGCAGTCTGGGTTTTGTTTTATTATTATTTTTATTATTTATTTTCTCAAAAGTTATATTGCTTGTTGGCCTCTATTGCCATATAAACATCTTTCTTGGCAGAGTTGGAGAATCATTACTCACTGCGGTCATTTTTCATTAAAAGGATCATTTTAACTATCTTTAGTTATCGCTGAAATATATTGACATTGAATGGGTGAGGCAGGGAGCGCAGAAACCAGACCCCACAGGATTAGTTGAGATAGTTTTTAAAAAGGAGGAGCAAGGACAGGAGTGCAGAGCATTTCAGGGATTAGCTAAATCGTTGAAAGTAAAGTGCACCCTGTGAGATTTAATGATTCTATAAACTACTTTTTGATCCATTTACTTTCACATGCAAACAGACAGCATCTCCTGGTTGCTTTCATGAATAGTAACCTATTTAGTTTAATATTTCTTTACAGATGTTTCGGTCTTACTTAAGGCTGATTTATACTCAGGAACCAGGTCGTCTGCGTGTGTGCCCCGCCCCTTCCGCAGACACTCTGCTGCACCTTTCCAAAACTGTAGGTGACCAGAGACAGTTCCGCAGAAAGGAGCCCTTCGATTGGTCAAATCTACATCTGCTCTACACTATGCATATTTCCTGTTTGGTACCTTACCAGCTTGTTTTGTTTGTATGACCGCCACTGTAGAAAACGACTCGTAAAGTTGGACCAGCTAGAAGTGCGAGGTGCACGAGAACGCTGGGATCTTTTTTCCACATGGATCCTCACTCTTGAACCTCCGTTGTTGCACAAACTGGCCCCCATTTCCTCACCACCGTATCTAGACCCACAGCTAGTTCATGATTGTCCCTCTTGCATTGTGGCGTGGAATAACATAGTGCAGACCACGCTTCAATATTGGGCATAAAAGGCTAGTTCTATTCCCACAGCGGTGTGTTGCAGTGAGCTTGATGCAGATATTTTTGATTTATGCCCAATATTAAAGTGTGGTCTGCGTTATGTTATTCCACACCACAACACAAGAGGGACAATCATGAACTAGCTGTGGGTCTAGAATATGGCCGAGGCGGTGAGGAAGTGGGGCAAATTTGTGTGACAGCAGAGGGACATAAGAGCGAAAAAGAGCGGATGGTAAAAGGGTCCCAGCATTCTCGCACACCTCGCTCTTCTAGCTGGTCCAACTTCACGAGTTGCTTTCCAGAATGCACAAACAAACAAGTAAGGTACCAAACAGGAAATATGCATAGTGTAAAGCGGATGTAGATTTGACCAATCAGAGGCCTCCTCTCTGCGGCACTGTCTGCGGTCACCTACAATTTTGGGGAGTGCACCAGAGTGTCTGCAAAAGGGGCGGGCGTTCACTGCGACACACATGCAAATGACCTGGTTTCTGAGAATAAATCAGCCTTAAATCAAAAAGATCTGCAACAAACTCACTGCGACACACTGCTGCAGCAGTATAACCAGCCCTTTGGACCCACACATTTCCAGGGCTTCTATAAAATTCTGCTTCTGACAATGAAATATGTCTTTGGTTTGTCACTGTGTGTCTATTAGAATTTAACTTGGAGGTAAATCTTTCCAAAACAGCAGCCCAAGACATATAGATTATATGCAAAGTTAAACTGTATGATCGGGTCAGACTTATTATTTATGAACATCAACGAAGAGCTAAAGTTTTCATAAATTTCTCGATCAAATCTAAGGTGCATCAGTTTATGCTCCCAGGCAAAGGCTTACTATAGAAACCCTATTCATGTTCTTAAGCCTTAACCAACAGAAATTAGACTGGGGCTACTTTGTATTAAAGACACTTCTTTACCAGTGTGAATAACTCATAGGAAGAAAATTACTAAGACTATTTTTACATATAACTTAATAACGATCATACTAATTATAATATCAGATAAGGATAATCTTTGTAAATATGAAAAACAAAATGAAGATTTAATACATTATAGAGAATAAAACTATCTAAACCAAGCTTGACCTTTTGTAAAAGTATAGTTAACCCACGTTATATATCAGTCCTCATTTTTGGTTGAATTTCCAAACAGCATTGTGTCCTGACTCAGCTTGACCTTTATAATTTAGTTCTGTTTGATTCGCTTTTTTTTATATAGCGACTTTTTACAACTCATGTCATCTCAAGGCACCTTACTGAGACAATTAATTCAAACCATAGCAGATGAATTTTTATGTAGAAGGAAAAGCCAGCTTATTCCATTGAGTCATTGAATTGGAGTTCAAGAAATAAATAAAAAAAACCAGTGAGATAACATGCATTTGATTTTAACGTCTCAAGCAGAAAGGCATCACACTTTAAGCTAAAGCAATTCCACAATAGAGGAAAATAAAGTTAATTGATTAATTGACTTTATTGATCTCACAGTGGAGAAATGTACTTGTTACACCGACTCAATTGTCAAAAAGAAGAAGGTGCAGAAGAAGTTCATGACTGTGATCTTTCACTGCTCATGTAAACCACAGTAAGAGCAATTAACAGCAAATGCAGAAAGTATATGAGAGGGAAATCAGAGCAACATTTAAAGCACTGCAGGTCTGAGTTGCATTAGTTTGTCTTCAAAACTCAAAAGACACAGGGAAAAAAATCCCCAATAAAAATCCAGGGGCATAACCAAAATTAGAGCCAAAGAACAGAGCATTTGTTTTTTATTTTACCAAACCATGCTCCGGAAGCCTTGGTCCTGTTATGTTTAATATGGAAGATAGGTCACCCTGAAGGCAGCTGCACCCCGGAACTTCCCTACCGGTTCTTTACCTAGGAACAAGTTATTTACTACTCTTAACTCAAACTGGGTAAAACAATATAAAAAGGACTATAAAACAGGAGTAAAAAAGTAACAGCGTTTATTCCAGGTCAGGTCACAACAGGATAGAGAAATGGCTTGGAGTTGGCACAAAAACGTCAGCGAGCGTCCGGCAAAGACTGAGCAAAGATTGAGCCGTGAACAAGGTCATCTCCTCCTTCTTATACCTCATGAATCCATGTGTTGCATCAGGTGGATGCTTAACCGTCCGTATCAGAAACTGACACGCCATCCATGCCTTAAAAATGGTAAAACTAACAGCAATCTAGATAAAACCCCAACAGTCAAGCATGGTACTGGTGCCATCGTGATCTGGGACTGTTAAGCATCTTCAATAACTGCACGACTTGTAATTAATGGAGCCATGAACGTTTCTGTGTACAGCCTAACTGAAGAACTCTACCATATTAAGATTTTGGACTAGCAAAGTCGAGTTCTTCATCCAACATAACTATGGCTGTTATGCACAAAAACCCTATTTGGCACAATTAAAATAAGTCTGCAAAGAAAATTGAGTTAGAGTTCCACTATAGTAATGTTTAAGGATAATTTTCAGACATTGGAAACTAATTACTCCACGTTTTGCAGCTAAGGCTTTCACACTGGGTAAAAAAGTCTTTTATATGTTTTCACACATGCCTGAGTTGGACCCTTAATAAATAGCACTAAAATGTAAAAACTTTTTTTTGTTTCAAAATCTGAAACATTTAAATGGGGAAGAGGAAACAAAAGATGAACCTGTCGGGGGAGTTATTTACTTTATTTTATTTCTTTATTTTAGTATGAGATGTAAATACAAAACAACCAAAATGATGATTTAACACAACATTTCCTCAGTAAAGATGCATTTCAATGTATTTTTCAGCAACTCATTCAAATGTGATCCTGTTGATTTTTAGACGTCGCATTTTTCTGGGATTTGACACCATTCCCTCATTATTATGTTGCATAAAAATGCTTCGGACAAAATTTACTTGCTTCGTCCAGAAACAGAATTGCACAGGAAACTGTGGATAAGGCTGTAAACGCAAACAGCTGGAGCCATGGCCTTACATGAGAGCTAAAGACAACAACACTGGGGCTGTAAATTATACAAATGCATAGTTTTGTGACCCACATGGATCCTTCGTAGTGTTTTGCTTGTGTCTCTGGTTCTGTTCAGACCTGATAAAACTCAATAAATATAAGCGTTGTTTTTCTTTTTTTGTAACTTAAAGTAGCAGGATCAGAAAGGAGTCAAAGGTTGTTAAGATAACCTTATTTGCCCTGATTGTGGTTCAAATTAAATTTGCAGCTACTTTCACAAGGATTTGCTAAGTTTCGCATAACTAAATAAATTTAAAAACACTGCAGCTCCATATTCCCAGAGCATATGCAGCATTCTGCATGAGACATTAGGGTTTATTATGAATATGCATTCAGTTGAAGCAAGGTCAACAAAATGAAAGGCGACTTTGGTAAACTTGCATGACTTAGGCAGATTATTGTGATATATGGAACTTAATGGTGAAGTAAATCCTGAAAATGAATGCTGTAAAGAAGTAATCAGACATTTTTTCCCATGTCTGAGGTTTTGACTAAACATTAAGTCTAATTGGAACCAGTCTGCTTGGATGGGACTCAGCTTGTTATAGCTGCGGGTTACAAATAATGTTCAGCACTTGAATCTTTATTGTATTTTTTTCTAACAATGTCTGTTCACCACCAAATTCCACAATCTAATTTTTGAAACATGCTGTGGAGCTTTTATATCGTGTGAGGAGAATGGTGTTAAAATATTATCCATATGGGATGTGAAACTCCTCCTCTTACATTGAAGTTGAAGATCAGAGCTTTAGATTGTTGGAATAAAATTAAGACGTGACTCAGAACCCTCAGATTTGATTAATGGGGTTGTGGTGAAAGATCAAAAGAAATGATCATTTTTCAAATTGCAGAAAAGCAGCAACGTTTCAAAAGGTTTTGTTGGTTGCATGTAAGATGAAAATACTAAAAAATAAAGACCATGTGGTTGGTGATCTGTGTCAGACATTAAGATTCTTCCAGGATTCCCTCAATAACCAGGATAACTCTATTCATGTTGTCTTGATCTTGAAAACCATTAAAAAACGATATATTATATGGGGAACATCCATCCACCCAGCTGTACACGTAAGAGGACTGTGACAACAATCTTTGCCGTAAACATGAAGTTAACTATTTTATTATGAAAATGTGGTTCCTTTAATCAAATTGGCCTTTCTAAACTGAAAAAAAAACACAACAACAGTTTTGTGTTGAATCAAAGATTAAGTGTTCATAATACAAAGATACAGCATATTACAGACAGATTAAGCAAGCAGATATATTCTGGTTAAGCTAACTCTGTTAGTTATGACAGTTCAATCTAAAAAAAACTCACATGGAGAAAAAAGACAATTAGAAGAAATTTATTGAAACAATTACTTAGTCTTTGGCGCTCAGACCTTCGCCAGGAAACATAGGGCTGAATTTTGATTGATATGCATGAATAGGAGTAAAGAACAGGGCTGTTTCCCCCCCCAGGCCTGAAAGTGGTGGTGGAGTGAAGATAGATGAAGTTGGTCAGTCTGTAGACTAATGGTTAGTGAGACGGTATCCAGAGTTTTATGGGGAGATCCAGTGGACTGAGAGAGCTGATACTAGAGCTTCACTCAGGGACCTGGAAGATAGAAGTCTAGTTTGAATAACACAGGTTGAAAGAACCTGTCAATGATGAGCAAGCATGAAATATGTGAAATCAAATCGTTTTCTCTATACCTAGTGATTTTTTTGTGAGCTTTAATCATTGTTTTCTCTAATTTAGCCACCTGATTTAGTCCCAGGTTTAGTCCACGTTTTACTCACAAGTTGAATGATTATTGCTCAGTCTAGTTTATTAATCTCAGATTGGATTTTAGGACTTATTAAACCAACACACATATTTAAATTTGCCTCACAAACCCATAGGAGGTCCACAAAAAAGAAAAAAGAGCCATTGTATTCTATTTTTCAAAAAAATCTGCCACCCAAGAAAAGACCAATCACATAAGAGGATGTGCAGAATGATTCCGTCATCCAGGATTCATAGAGAAACCAGACAGTTGTTCTTATTTATTTTTTTTTTTACTTATCTTATTCCTTTATCCTTATTTTGGTCTATTGAATATGTTTAAAAAATGTATTTCCATCACATCTACCAAATTTAAACATCTAGAGAAGTTCTGTTTTGTGTCATGGAGAGTTTTTATAGACTCTACAGCCTCCTAGATGGTCTGAATTGTTTAGCTGTTTTGTCAATAGTAAAAAAGAAACTAATAATATAATAAAATTTTTAATCCTTAGCCTATTACCAAATATTCATACACAGTGTAGTTTGCAAGGAATTCGATTTGGTTCCTGTCTTAGTGCCAGAAACCCAGTAATAGCTTATTAGTTCCCCGTTGTTTATTTTACTTTAACTGCATAGAATAATTAGTTAACAAAGATGTGAAATTCTAAGTTTACAGTATATTTAAGATTCATCTATATTAGTAGGGTTCATTATTCACGACTTCAATTCTCTGAAAATCACCAGAATTTAGAAAATAATGTATGTTGTGCGAAAAATTTTCTACATAACTACAGATCACTCATTGTTGCTCAGTAACATTTACTGTGTTACCAAAAATTCCACATTTTGCCACTTTGTTTTAGTTTAATCCTCTTAAAACCTACAACCTATAGCTGCATCTATAATCTCACTCCAAGGTTTGGTGAAAAGTTGGCAGCCCTGTAGATGGTTATTTTTTATTTGGCTTACTGGCTAATAGCGAAACAACATTTAAGGAGTGTAGACCATCTTTTTTTTCTCAAGAAGTAAACTTTTCCCCATTTTCCATTATCATTCTGTGTCTTTAATAGAATTTTAAAGTTAATAAAGTAATGGCTAATGGGGTTCAATGGCAGCCATTCAACAATGCTAAGTCAGCTTTAAAGGCTCATGCTCTGATTAGCTATTGCACTCATTATTTATTTTATTCTGATTTTGTGGGACCCTTCAGAGAAATGTTCAATTTGAATCTCATCATTTCATCTGTTCTCAACAGATAGGTCCAAGCCAGCAAACAAATGAGTTTGTGGCTGATGCTGAGGCAACAGCAACCCTAAATAAAACCAAGAATGTTATGTTAGGGTGCTTGCACGTTAAAACACATTGCCTAGAGTTCTTGGTCAAACAACCATACATTTCTTTTTGTGGGATTTGAAACATTTTTTTTTTCTGCCCCAGTATGACCGCCACCCTGGCCAGCGTTGGAGCCGCCAGTATTCCCAGTGCTGGATTGGTGACCATGCTGCTGATCCTGACAGCTGTCGGCCTGCCCACTCAGGACATCAGTTTGCTGATCGCTGTTGACTGGCTGCTGTGAGTAAGGTGTCTGATGAGCAGGGAATAAAAATAAGTCAATGCTCTGTTTCATGCATCCTCTGCAGTTACTGGCTCTGCTGGGAGAAAGTTTTCAGTAAATGCATTTTATTGCATTATTTTAAGCTAACACAGCTCAATTTGAAGTTTATCTTTGACTTGAGAATATTCATTCAGTGTAGCAATGCAATTAGTTCTATGTTTTCCCAAAACATTTCACAAAGTTGGATGAAACAGAGACACGGATTTTTGACCTTTATTCTTTAAATAATTTATTAAGATCTAATTTGATAACATCTCATGTTTTCAGTTTTATTGTTTTCCGGAGACTAAGGAGGTCATGAAAATATGTAGATTTTGTGTGTGTCTATATGCTTTAAATCATTCTTCCTCAAAAATACAATTTTTAAAAATTTGTTGTCATAAACAATTAATGATCCGTACACTCTAAAGAGGTTCCTGCTTTCATTTGAAGAGAAACAGCCCCACGGCACTATAGATCCTCTCTCATGCTTAACAGTTGACATGTTGGTGAAGAAGTCCTCCAGGTCATTGTAATTCCAGAAAAGTAAAAAAAACAACATTCCTTCCTGCTATCATCAAAACCCCCAACCCAATACAGGGGACCAGAACATCTTGCCTGTTCAGCCAGGCCAACAACCCCCCCTAACGACCCCCCTTTCAGAGACATAGAACAGTATTTGCTTCTGCAGGCTAACAAAGAACCCAAATGACTCCCAATTAGTAAGGGGTGGACCCACTCTTCCAGTTCAATTTGCATGTTTTCTAAGCCAAAAATATGGTTTTGTTTTGATCCAATCTATAAAGCCTCAAACTCTACGCTAATTTTGACATTTTCAATTGAAAAAGCTTCCTGGATGGGAAGAGAAATGTCATCAAACATGGAAAAAAAAGTCCAGTGGATTGTTTTTTTAACTTTTTTGGATCTTTTCTGGATGAAAGCATGAATCTGAGTCTTATCTGATCCCAAATGGATCAATTTAATGCTAAGATCAAATTTCATTGTACTGCACATCATTGCACATTAAAAATCAATTTTTTAATGTGTTGGCTTAAATAAATCTACAGGTCTACCTCCTGTGTTGCTGATTGCTCTATCAGAACCTATAAAGCCATAACCCTTTCTTTATGTCCACTCAGAGACAGAATGCGTACCTCCATCAATGTGGTGGGTGATTCTTTTGGTGCTGGGATCGTGGACCACTTGTCAAAGGCGGAACTTGCTGAACTTGATGCGGCAGAAATGCTCCCGACAGAGGAGGAGCTAGATTTCATCCCTCCTCCGCCGATCCTTACCGAAATGGACCTGGTAGACCCCCTCAAACCTCCTGAGCTGCCACCTCGTTCCCCTCGCCCACCTAAACAAAACCATCACAGCCATGTTCTCTCCCAGTCTGCCACGTACTCACCTTCATGTTCTATCCGATCACCATCCCCACACTCCGTGCGTTCTCCCTCTCCGCGATCCGTCTGCTCCCATTCCCCTCGGCCTTTCCGTACTCACTCACCACGCCTCCTCCGCAGGACGGAGCCGGGCTACTCTGCCCTGCCTAGCCATGATAATCAGGTACCTACCTATGCTACATATTAGAAGTAAATATTTGTGTAGGTCTGTCAGCGCACAGTGATCTCATGTCTTTCTTTCTGAACTCAGATTTCCACATTACCACGAAGCTACAGGGAGTGGGACAGGGGACGTGACAGGCTCAGAGACAGGGAACGGGACAGAGAGCGAGACAGGGAACGGGACAGGGAACGGGAGCGACTGAGACCAGAAAGTGAAACAGAGGAGGAGGAGGACAGAGAGCGAGCTCTGGGCGAAGTGAGCGACGGTGAGGAAAGTGACGACACCGCTTACGATCGACGGTGTGCCATATCACCGTGTGATTTGCCGTGATGGCGTTTTGGTCTGTTTGTCTAGGTTTTGTGAAATGTTTCCAATTCTGGCATTATAATTTAGGCAAGTCCAATGAAGGGGTGGGTAATTTAAATCTGGATAAGAGTGTCTGAATTTTTTTTTTTTTCATCTATTTATTTATTTAATCAACAAACCTAAAATAGTCCTGAATGTTTGTGTACTAGCCTTTTAATGCCCAAATCTAATATGTTTAATACTGCAACAGAAAATTCTAGAACATGGGTGTATAACTCCAATCATCAATGGCTGATTTCTAACTTTTTGACGTCGCTCTGGTTGAACACACTGGTGTCAAATGGCTAAATCATATCCTCAGCATGCAGACAAGTTCTCCAGAATCCTGCTAAAGATCTTACTGTTTGCTTTAGCTGTGTTAAATAAAAGAAACCTCTAGAAGTTGTAGGACATTGGCACCCAAGGACCAGAATTTTTTACCTAAAATTTACCTTTTTTAAAATGTTTACTGACTGTCAAAAGTAAAAATATCAGCCCCAACTTTACAGTCTGGTTCTGTTCAAATGTACCATTTTTAACTGTTCATTTGAGACCTAAAGGCAACAAATGAAATGTCATGAAGCAATATTTTATATATAACCCCACAAGATGATGCTGCCACCACCATGCTTGATAGTTAGAACTATGTTATTAGGTCTAAAAGCTTCATTTTGAACCATCCCAACTATACTTCCTGTCATTAAGGGTATCGTCTCTTATTCTACCATGAGTTTCTATCTAGGAGGTTCTGAGCTTGTTTGTGTGGACTGATTCTGGAACTGCTCTAGATCCCCTTTATTTAAGGGGGACCTAGAAATGATATTAGTGACAATAACACTACAGTTTACCACTGGTTTCCAATGCAGAGACAATCAGAATTACTTTATTAATCCCTTTCGGGAAATTCTTTAAGCCAGACAAGCCCAGTAATTGACTTTTGTACAATCCAACCACACAAATGTAAAGCTAAATCAGCCCCACCTTCTTTCCCAGTACGCATAAAGCAAAGAAATGGACTGCACCTATTTTCCACAAAACATGGTTACTTCAGAAACCACATGAAGTCTGGAAAAGTGAGGAGTTTCCAGTGTTTTCCAGACACAAGTTTGGAAACAAGTTTATAAACAGACTTTGTTTGAAGGGGTTTTAAGTTTTATCCGTTTATCTATCCATCCTTCATTCCCTTCTTCTCTCTTCCTAACTTTCTTTTCTCCCTCCTTCTTCCTTCTTCTCTTTACCCCATTCTCTTATCCTTCCTTCCTTCCTTCCTTCCTTCCTTCCTTCCTTCCTTCCTTCAAAAGAAGCTATTTAGAAACCTACAAATTTTAATCTTGAACAGTGAGACACAACTTAATTGCTCTTTGTTTTTAGCATTTTTTTGCTTACTTTTGAGTAGAATATCTTAAACAATCATGATGGACAATTCATGTGAATTAATCTTCACAATGTTATGAATGTTACATTAAAAGCATGAAAGGAAGCATACATCCAGCAGATGTTATTTTTACATATTTCTTTCCATAAACTTCAGGTTAAACCCTTGGTACTTTTCTTTATTTCCTGCAAACAACACTCAATGTTCTCAGTAATATTGTCCATACAATGTAAGGTTTATTTATTTTTTTGTGGTTTGGTGTGTGTGAAATGATGATCAACGATCTAAGCAAGCTGCTTTAATGTTGTTGTTGTATGTTGAAATGTATTAGTACTTTACTCTCATTCTGTCATTTTATCTTCTAATTGCTGTAAAACTGATCTCCCCTGAATCCCGTTTCCTTTTGGACTGCTATCCTGCATCCCTAAGTCAATAATCAGATTCACTCGCTAGGTTCTGTGTACATTGTAATAAAACCTTATAGATTTATTTAAAATTACTGGGATTTTTATGCTTTATTCTTTCCCGCTGCTTAAATAATGTCTTGTACAATCTGCACAAGGATTTGTCTTCAGAAAGGGGTCACGCGTCAGTGTTTGGTGACTAAAAAATCCCAGACACAAAGATATTACTGGATGAAGAGATCGCAACAGACACACAGCAAAGTATGCACATTACACAACAAGGTTGTGCTTGCACATTGATGAGAAAAAGACACACAGGGATACCAGCGCTCTTAATCCTCTCAAAGAAGAGTCAGAGATGGGCGAGGCCAGGGGAAGTGATGGATGGGAGAGGAATCGCAGAGCAGCAGATGGTCAGAAAGACGTCAATCGTTTTTATTCTTCCCAGACAGCATAAGGGCACTGTGGGTAATTGCAATCAGGGCTGACGTTTGCTTCGGGTCCCTGCGCGTCAGATGGGGGAGCCAAATGAGGTGGAGACAAAAGGTGAAAAGCTTCAGGCTAGTGCTCTTCTGCAGCCTGACATCCAGATCAGTTTTTTAGATTGTCGTGATTTTTTCTATTATTGTAGATCTGTGGGTGACTTTGTCAACACAACAAGGCACTAACCTGCCACACATCATGATCAAGTGCTGCTTCTTCAGAAAATGACATTTTTTTTTTTTTTATCATGTCTGACCATTAAAATAAATATTTCTATATTAGTAAATGTTCATGAGTTTGTAAGCATCTTTGTGCTTTTGGATTTGAGTGTAGATGAAACATTTAAACAGCTCACTCTAACCAGAGCAGCTGTTAACCTCTGGGTCACCATACGGTTCTAACTGGGCTTTTTTTTCCATTTGTCCTGAAGCAACATTTTGAAATGAGCTAAATCATGCTTTTTTCACACCTTTCCAAAGTAAAACTACTAAACTTCTATGTGTTGCTGGGATTTATATGCCATACTAAGATAAACCTGTAGCCCTTTCTGATCGGAAAGGAAATGTATACAATTTATTTCATAAACTTATAATGACTTTTGAGCTTTTCACTTAAATATGTTGAAGTTTTTATTCCAACCCTCTACTGTGATACCCATAATAAAATCAATAAGCCAATTAATAAAAAAGTAAAATCCACCTGTGTGCAATTTAAACTCTTAATAAATCACACTGCTCTTTAAAGGTATAAGAGGTTGTTTAAAAAAAAAAAAACATTAAAGAGCGAACAGCATCATGAAAACAATAGATGTACAGGAGATAGATCAGGGAGAAATTTTTGGAGAAGTTTAAGCAGAATTAGTTGCTGAAACAACATCCAAAGCTTTAAACCTCTCACAGAAATCTGTTCAGTCAAACATCTGAACATGGCAGGAGGATGAACCAAGATAAGGTTGATTATAAAATGATAAGCTAGCAGAAGAAAAAAATTTGTCAGAGAAGCAGCTCCAAACCCACGGTATCTCTGGAGTAGCTTAGTAGCGGACAGATGGAGATTATTGCAGCTAAAGCACTTCTAGATAGGAAAATACTTATAACAAATAAGATATACAAAGGAGTGGTTTAAATAAAATAAAAAAATACTTAAATGTATTTTTTTGCAAAAAATGCACATGCACCACCCTGTACCTGCTCCCGGGAGGGAATTAAACGCGTGCGAGTGCATGCAGGAGCCCATTTCTCCTCATGCACGTTCTGTTTAAAACTTGCTGTTTGCATCGCTCATACAAGCTTACTTTCCAAAATAAGATTTGCAATTTTTCCACTATGTCAGACTCACCACCAGTAAGTGAAAAGGGGGACGAGCACATAGGACGACTTTACGTAAACATAGAATCACCCGAAGGTTTGACAATTAGGAGGACCACTTATATTGATGATCCACCCAGAAAAACAACATCCTCCACTATACCTTTAAACAGCCTCATCAAAGCCTAGAAATAATCTAATTGAGAATCCACAACAAGAGTATTAATAGCTTTGTAAGACATGGTAAACACAAAACACATCTTAATAGTTAAAGCTTAGTTATGCATAAAACATATGCATTCCATACAGAGATAATGTTTTCTTGAGGCTTTGCAGACTGTAGGGGTTTATAAAGCACAGACTGCAAGTTTTCAACACCACACAACATGTAGAAATGTTGTTTTTTCACAATCTATTTATTGAAGTAAAAGTTATGTTATCAGAGCGATATATTTTCAAACTCTCGCCCGTATAAGCTGTCGTTTTTCACCATGTTTTAAAACTATATAATTTGTCCACAAGGACGTCCCAGATGCATCAAACACAAACCAGGATTTATATGCCTTCTTTATGGAAGCAAGGAAGTTTTTTTTTCATGATAGACCCACACTTTTATATCAATCTATAAGACTGGTAAAACATGATGGGAATATCTCAAAGGCATACTTGCAAGTAGCTGTCAGCTCATACGTTTTAGTTGCAGTAGTTGGATTATATAGGATTTATTTTTACAGAAAAAGAAATTTCATTCGGTCCGCTCCTTAAAACAGCAGCTCTTGTCTGCTGACACACAGCCACAATCAAATGTGCTTGAGTTTGTCATGCAGTTTAGGAGTGTCTACACCATCTTTGTTCTATTGCCCAAAAGCTTTTGTCAGCTACTTAAGAAAATATCAAGCATCTGTAAGATATAACAGTGCAGTAATCCTTTCAACCTGGGGACAAAGCATTATGTTGAAGCTCATATCTAGATCATCTCTATAAGCACAGTTGTAGCTCATCAGCCAAAGAGTGCCCTCCCTAAGTGCCAGGACCTCAATTGGTTCAACCTTTCTTGCTCAGTCACTCAGTCTTTAAAAAAAAAAATTACCATCTGAGACTTAGAACAAAAGGACCCAGTAATCAATGAGGAAGGATAGTTAGGCTTAATAAAACACTTATGTAAGACGGAGGTGGAGTGAATAGCGTTGGGGTGTAAGTCAGGAACCTCTGCAGGGGGAGAACACAGATTAGTGACCACGTCTATCTGGCAGAGGATGATAATAAACATGTGAGTCACTAACCTGGTCTTATAGTTCAGTCCATGCCCAGAGGATAAGGTTCAATCCAGCCAACAAGATGCAGTGGTCGCCACCCAGAGAGTCTTAGATGCTGAAGTCCCGGAGGTCAGAGGAAAGGCAGGAGATCAGAACCTGGCAGACGAAGGCAGGCAAGATAATCCAGAGGGCGAAGCAAAGGTCGGTGCCGAGGACATGCTCGAGAGTCAGAGCCAGAAGATCAGAGGTCCAAAGAAGTACCGAAGGGAAATCCAGGAAATCCAGCTGTCGGGAAACAGTTCCAGATTCGGTAAACAGACAGCCAGGCTCAGAGGTCCAGAGGCAGAATGGGTCAGGATCAGGTAATCAGAAACACTCAGGAACGCTGCAGAACTCTCAGAAAAGCCTCGAATAATCTGACACTGATGATTGGTTGAAGGCTGGTTAAATAGAGACTGAAGCAGCTGGATCAGGTGAGTGGTAATGAGAGCTGGGCGGAGCTAGGCAGGTGAATAAAATGAGTTATTAGTTCAGTTATCAGCTCCAAGAACATGACAGACCAAGGTTTTATTTATTTGATTGGTTATCACCAAAAACTGATAAAATTACAGGTTTTGAACAAACACTTTGACTCTACACTGAAAAGATAATCCAGACTGAAATTTTGTTATTTTATTGGTAAAATACCAAACTCATTGCAGTCGAACCTCGGCTGCAGGAGGAGCAGTGTGGTTTTCGTCCTGGCCGTGGAACAGTGGACCAGCTCTACACCCTCTGCAGGGTGCTTGAGGGTTCTTGGGAGTTTGCCCAACCAGTCCACATGTGTTTTGTGGACTTGGAGAAGGCATTCGACCGTGTCCCTCGTG